TGAGTGCTTTTTAAAGACTAGTAATTGATAACCATATCCATCAATTGATTGGCACCTGTATGTGTGCTTCATACTGTAGTGAACTTATTTGTACACTATTCATATTTTGTTTTGATAATTTGTATAATATCTGTATTATAAACATTATAAGTATAAATGTTTGACTTTATTTGTGTATCATAGTCATTTGTAATTTTATGTAAAATCTGGAAATTATATGAAATTGTGTAAATTAATTATAAACTATTAGTTAACAATAAACAGACTTTTGCATAAACAGTAGTCTACAAAAATTATTTTTGTTATTATTCTGTATTTAATTATATGTTTACTTTAATTATCATTATCATTAGTGAACCAAATTAATAATATTTGTATACAGAATATGTAGTGTAGAGAATTAACATATTCTTAACATTTAACATATTGTATGCAATTGTGTTCACATTATAATAATTAGTAATAATTCGTAAAACTTTTATAAACTCTTCATTCAATACAATGCATACAATAAACGGTATTCAGTAACCAAATAATATATTTATCACAATAGGTTGTCATCCCATTCCTCGTACGCCATGTGCGGCAACTGTTTAATCATTTCCGGTGTCATCGGCGGTAAAAACGGCTTAAGTCGTCGACCCTTCATATGATCAGCAATTTTCTCGGCGATCATAATCGTCGGCGCATTGATATTACCGGTGATGACAGTCGGCATTACGNAGATTCCGTGCGATTCCTATTGAACGCTACGTTTAACAACCAGTGGCTCCGGGAGTGGACGGGTTGTCCCACATATCTGATGGGAAACTCGCAGTTAATTTCATCGATGTTTGGTTTACTAGAGATTCAATTCGTATTCCTTTCACTCATTGAACAAAAGTTTGAGACCAGAAATAAATGCTTTTATTTCAATGTTATGAATGCTGTTAAACACAAACGAATTAAATATCCATTGAATAGAAAATATATGAGACGATATGGACTATACTGGTCAGTTAGCACTTCATTTTTTATGAGGTTTCAAATATACGTGGGACTAGTTGTTGAATACATGATTATAGCTATACCTACTATAATAGCCTATTTTGACATTAATGCTAACTATCCATTAATTAGCGTAATTATGTGGAACAGTATCTATAGTGTGGCCACATTTCAAGTGCAAACCTTCCAAGTATGGGGGGCTGTTGTGTTCATTTCAATAACATTATACCTGAAGTATAAATTTGATGAAATCAATACTAAAATCATATTTCACGCCAAACACCGACTCAAAGAGCGTCTAATGTCGGCGATCGTTGAACACAACGCTATCACACAATTGACTCACGAATTGAATAAATACTTTTCGGAACTCATATTTGTCATATATTTTATGACAACCCCAGCCATACAATTAATGGTATTTATGACCCATAATAGAGACTCGACATTAAATGTTAGGATTGCTTGTATACTTACATCATTGTATAGTGTTTTATATCTAGTTGGTTTAGTCTCCATGTGCGCACTGGTGTCCAGGAGTGCCCGCAAATGTTATCCATTTCTGTATGAAATACTCACTACACATATCCTAACGTTAAGAGAGAGATCCAGAATCGAGATCTTTCTGAGTCGACTGTCCGGTCCGGACATTACTTTCTATTGTTTCAACTTATTTCCGATGAGTTCCCATGAATTCTATGAATATTTCTTTATATCCGCCTCTAATTATTTGCTTATAATTAGTATATTTTAAGTCATTTTATTAAATATAGTCTATTATCTTAGTTTTGACATACGGTCATTATTTATAATTAATTTAATTTTATGTTCAATTATAAAATGGCAACAAATCAAAGTGGACACCTCGATACTTATTATGTAATTAATGTGTAAATTATTTCAATAAATTAAGTATTGTACAAAATTTGATCACTTTTGGCACACAATTAATAAACTATTTTCCATTGAGACTCTTGTTTACATAATTTAAGCGGATTGGCATCACATGTAGCGCACAGGGCGTTGAACGTGGTGTTGGGCATAAACCCCAATATCTCCCGTTCCTCTTGAATACGAAACGAAAAGGTCGAGTCATAGGTGCCAATGAATAGCCGCGAGTGGACGGCAATCAATTGCTCCACAATAGCCAACTGTCCATCGCTTAACCCCTCGTACTCTGAATGTGTTAAACGAAACAATTGTACATTTTTCTCATTAAACAGCTTTTCGATGGTTTTCCACTCATGAGGTGTAGCATCGCTGGCAACAAACACGACATTGATTCCCGTCATAAACGACATGAGCACCCACTCGATCTGTTTGGCCATACACTCAAAGGTGGGCACGTTTTTGGTGCGATATTTCGCGAAATCCCCGCGCCTTAAGTGCACCGACAGGTACTGTCCGCCCACTGCCTGTCCGTGGGTTCGCCTCATTGCCCGCCAATCGCTGCCCACAATCGTGCCATCGCTGGTGTCATCGGAGCTGAGGTACTGTTTGCGGAACTGATTGGCGATTTCGACGAGACGTCCACTGAATCGCATACTTCTTCGACACATCCAATACTCTTGAGACCCAAACTCATCGTTGAGTATCACTTCAGCGTTGGACACGAAGACAACGGACGAGTCACTGAAGTTGTGGTCAATTATCTGCTTCAGCGTCGACACAAAGCCCTCGATCTGCAAACATAATAATCGCCCATATCTTAAGTGTCTGTTCGTGTCGTACGTACTGATGATCTGATCACCGATTCTGTGGTAATATTGAGTTTCGTTGCAATCGGACAGCGAATGTCTTTCCACCCAATCCTTTCCCTCATCGAAGGTGTCCTCGAAGTGCTCTAAACTCAACACCACATCCACTGCCACCACACCATCACTGGCGCGCATCTGATCCACAAACTCGTGGTATTCAACAACAGGTATAAACTTCTGAATACTCTTCACATCAAAATAGGCGCTCCACTCGTGAGTGCGCGGATCGTCGACAGCACCGGTATGTCTGTCTCGTCGCCAGTGGGGAACCAATGACCAGTTGGGCAACACTAGGGTCCAGTGAGCGCCCAATCGGCGCACCAGTAGTGCCATACGTATGAAGACATCCCTCCGGAGGTTAAAGCCTTCAGCGAAGTTTTGGTCGTAAATCAGGTATCGCTTGATGTCTTCGGAGTCGTGTCCTCTGTATCTGCGATTGTCTTCACGTGGTTTTCCATCACATAAGGACTGTTTGTCACCCGCCGGACAGTACTCATCAGCTGATCCACCCGTCAATGGCTTTGTAACTGAGATAATAATGCAGACAATGAGTGGTAAATAACTTTTCCAATGCATTCATATGTGTTGATGACTATAGTCTACTGTAGTGTTCACTAAATCGAGAGTTAATTGTATTTCTAATTATAATTAATGGGAAATAAAAAGTTTGAAACTTTTTTATCGCATTTTGTTTACAAATATTTTTGTTGTTTTGCTTTGCATTTACTGCACGTTATTACTGTGTAATCTTGAAATCAATTCAATATAACGTTACGAATATCTAATTATTTACTGCCCCTAAGGCCGGTTCACATGCATTGGTTGTATCCTCCACTCGCGTTTAACTGTAACGTTATATGTGAGTGCAGTGTTGATCAGAAAAAGCAAATATTTAGCCATTTTTTGTCCATCGCTTCAAAGATAAGACACAAACACTTGACTTCATTGTAATTAAACTTAATTAGCATTTAAGTACCCAAAGTCTTAACCGATTGTCTCATTCACAGGTAAACGATGAACACAATGGCAATGAGGAAAGCCATTCAGAAGCACCAGATGCTCAAAGTGTCTGCGCTGATGGTAAGTAGTCACTCACTCAACCATTTGTTTACCACAAACCTCTTGAGTCCTATCCATCAAAACCGGATTAACTCTTATTAATGTACCGCTGGTTGTATTGAACACACATTAGGCTTATGTATGCATTACTACCGGTGTTCAAGACATTGTAATCCGGGTTTTGATACTTGTGTTGAATTGTGTATTGAATGCTATGTTTTCACGTGATTTGTATGTCTTGTATGCAGTCATCGATGGCTCAGAGGGCGATGAGTGCGGGCTCCGCCCACCCCAACCCCAACCCTCACGGCTGGAAGTCATGGCGAGATATACCCGACTCTATGATCCCGACGACCAGCAAACGGGACCCGAATAACCCGATTTACGGCACCAGAAAGTATGTGGACTACCGGAAGCAACAGATTTGGTTTCAGGTATGAGACACACCCGTTGACCATTACCGGCGCTCACAGACTCACTCATTCTCTATCTAACCCATGAGAGAGAGAGAGAGAGAGAGAGAGAGAGAGAGAGAGTCTGAGTGAATAGAGAAATGAGTTATTTTTGAGTTAACACTGAATTGATATACAGATCCCGGACGGCGTTCCCGTGTTCCTTAAGGGCGGAACCACTGACAAAGTGCTGTACTATGGCTTATGGGTAGCAGTGACCACTTTGGTGTTAGTGAACGCTTACCACATCGGAGACATGATCTTCGGAAAGCCTACTAAAAAGGCGTAAAGGCCTCAGAACTACCTGTCCTTTAAAGTCAATTTACGAGATTTACGTATAATTCGAGAAATAAATGCAAATTTAGTTTTTTGTTTTCATTCATTAGCTTAAAGTTATTTTAGTGTCAAATATAAAAGTTATTGTATTTAATCGTAAATAATATGCGATTAAAAACCTATGAATTTGTTGTCTAAAAACTAATTAATATTTGTTTTAATAAAATAGTATTAAATTAGATACTAGTTTCTATATTTTTCTGATAATTATTCAATTAAATAAACAATTATTTGGATGTGTTTTGCATATCACGAGAGTACACCGTAATGCAAATATTTAGCCATTTTTTGTCCATCGCTTCAAAGATAAGACACAAACACTTGACTTCATTGTAATTAAACTTAATTAGCATTTAAGTACCCAAAGTCTT